GGCAAAAGAAGGATTTGGTATCATAAGTAGGGCCTAGCCTTCTGCTTGTGGTAGAGTTTCATTCCAAGTTGCATAAATATCTTTATTTATGCAACATTAAGCCAATTTTCAGCATTTTCCTGGAAATCTATTAGTTGCTTTCAGGCTCTCTGAAAGGTATCTTATTTCATTGCAGGAGAATTCATCTGTCATGCTCTGAAGAGAGTGTTTATATCTCTAGCAACTAAAAGCTTGCAAAAAGGCAGCTGCAATCTTTTGCTGGAGCAGAAGCAGAAGACACAAAAACTATTACTGTTTCTTAGATGTAAGAAGAATTCTATTTTCAGTGGAAGAGATTGTCCTGACTTACCTTGATTACTGAAATCAAGGAAAACATAACTTCAGTCTACCAAACCATTTTTGTAGAATTCAGGGAATGAGAGAGGGGATTGCTGTACAAGCTGAGAAAGAAAACAAAACTACTAGTTTTATCTCCTTTGAACACACAGCCCTTTATATTTTCATTTTCCCATCTCTATTTTTTTTCTTGGCCCTCTTTTATTCACTTTCTTGCTTTGAAAAAAAAGCAGGGAGGAATTCTATGCTATTGTGTATGATCCCTTATTCTGACTTCCATGCTTGGTGCACAGAAGTCAGGGTGTGACATGAACAACAATTTGATGTACAGAGCCTGCCATGACAAAAGATTTTTGGATTTTATTCAGGAGTAAATGACAACAAAATCTTTGAAAACCTGAGAAGAAGGTGGGATAATAAAAGGGATGTGTGGGAGAAGATGAATATAAAAAAAGGATCAAAACAGATAAATTTCAGTTGGCAAGTGATAATATACTCTTCAGTTTCCTAGAGTTAAAATTGTAGCTTCCAATGTATTTTAGTGATGGATCCTGCATAGGAAGTTTAACGTGAATTAGCTGCTATAAATTTGTTTTCTAACAAAAAAAAATAAAATTAAATATCATCTATAAATTTTGCTAATGTGCTTGGTAGAGAAGCAAAATCAGCAGCAAGAAAAAGAGTACTGCTGACAATTTCAGTGAAGAGGACAATCAGTCAAGTATCATGTTCATCACTCCTTATTTACTGTGATAATTAGATCCCAACATTCTGCACTGCGACGTGCATGACTTGCTTTGTTCAAGATGTTGCCCACATTATGTGTTTGGGAGTTGTCTCCTTCCCTTGCCACCAACTTAAAATACATCCTTTTAGTGTCCATGCCCTGGAATTGAGTGCTTCCACAGTTCCTGATGGTCCCAGCACCTCTCAGCACCAGCTGACACGGAGACAAATGAATCTGCTTCCAGGGACACCACAAAGGATTCCTTTGGTCCACTATAACAAATGCCTGGGTACATCTTCAATAAATTCTCTTTATCACTGAAAATTAGCAGTGGTGTGAGAGGGTCTCTTGAACTTTGTAGCTACAGCCAGGGCTAAGAATGACAGAATCTGACTGCTGGGAATTGGAAGAAATAAAAGAGTAAATCTGAAAGCAGAACAGCCCTGAGACTGGAGCATTCCTGCATCTCTCTTAGGGTGGGACTGTGCATTAGCAGATGGCAGCCTAAAAACAATATGTGCTGAGAGAGCTCGAGATGTATGGCAAGATTTTCAACACCTACGCAACCGCTCAAAGGAGTATTGTCTGTCAGGGGTGGTGCAGGGATTTACAAGTTGCTTTTGTGTGGATTTCTGAAGCTGTTATCTGCACACCATCAGCCAGGAGACGTTGGAGGCAAATTCAAGGCAAATTTTCACAAAATGGAATACGATAACTAGTCACAATATTAATCCATAAGCTTTGATGTGAGCGTTGTAAAACACATATAAAGCAGCCCAGACCCCTCTCATTGGTAGATCAGGGAGTTCTGTTGGTTGTGAGAGGCAGCAGAAAATTGCAACTGAAGAGCAAATCATGATCTTGCCATCTGCCTGGAAGGAACTATTATATAGGGTTTGCTGTCAATCAACCAACCTGTTTTGAAGCAAAGGAAGAACAGTACATGATTTTTTTTTTCCATGCTCATTTCATGCACTAATTCCTTACTCAGAAACTATTTCCAGCACACAGGGCTCTGTTTGCAGCTCCCTGCCCAGCCCTGCAAGCAGGGAGATGAGGTGTGGAAGAGAGTGTTTTTCTTAAATAATGACAAAGCTCATAGCTGTGACAAGGAATTAAATCTTAAGGTATTGTATTTGTTAAAGTGATGGCATCAGGGAATATTGGCTGCTCTATATCCCATAATCATGATAATTCTCACTTTTTTTTTGTTCCAGTGTGAGAGTTTTCCCCAGTCTCTCATTTCCTCCTCTTGAAGGGTGTATTTTGTGTTGCTTTATGATTTTTTTTTTGGTTGGTCGGGGGTGGCTTTTTTCATGAACATACCTAAGGCAAAAATTGTTGCTGTCTACCTGCTTCATCTTTTCAAAGATTTTCCTGTGAACTCTAGGCTATAGTATTGCACAGCAGTGTATTTCATCCATAACTAAATTTCCTTATGTAGCACCTCTAACCTGAGGATCTCCAAGCATGCTAAAATAGGTGTGTGAAAGCCACACCATGCCCCTGCAGAATCCAGGGCATTTTAGAAGTAATAAACTGAAGTATAATTTAATATCATAGAGTGAATCCGTTATAAGGGTTCACACTGCAGGGGACAAGCAGCAAAGAAACCTCTCAATTTGTTAATAGTTTTTTTTTTTCCCTCCACTGACTTTCTTTGTGATAAACTGGAAGCAAAAACATGGGTTTGCAAATAAGCTATTTGGTCAATCCCCTGGTGTAATGTAAGAGCTGAGATTTGCTCTGCAGCTGAGGCTGAGACAGAGTTAAAGGACTTTGAAGTGCTATTTTCAGGGTGGCACCTGGACTTAAAAAAACCAGAAATGCAACACTGCAGAGCTGATCTGGCCTCTTGCATTTTCCTTTGGCAGAGGCACCAGCCAAATCTTCTTTTCCAAAAGAGGTGCTGGGCTATGTCAGGATGTGCATTTGCTGTGTACTGGAGCACCCAGGCAGACCTGGGTGTCTGGAAACATTTCACAGCCAGGAGAGGCATTGAGCTCACAGCAGAACTCCCTTCAGAGTTCCCTGGCACACAGCACAACCACCCTGGCCTGTTTCCCAAATCAACCCAGTTGTGCCTTGTCACTGGGATTTACTATACTCAACAAAAATTTACTATAATCAAAAAAACCCTCGCACCTGATAGTGTTTTGAACCTTCAAACCAGCTCCTCCCTGTGTTCAGGTGGTTTGAGTTTATAAAAGCTCCCAATAGGAGGGAGGAAGAGAGAGGAGTAGAGTGATGGTGTGCTTTAGGCTGTTTCTGAAGTGAGAGAAGCAGCCAAAAGTCCATGGAAAAAGTCTTTGATCTACAGTGAGACAGAAACAAGAACTAAACCTGCCTGTGACCCCAGTGTTTTTGGGGTTTTTGAGGTTGGTGCTTGGGAACCAGAATTTTGGAACTTGTGGAGTGGTTTCCTGGTTGTGTTTCTGGTTTGGGCTTTGAGCTTTCATGGTGTGTTGGGGAAGTTTTGCTCTTCACAGTGATGGGAAGTTTGGGGCTGACTGGGAGAGAGTTGATGTATCTTTGATCTTTTGTCTGTGTAGCAACTTTTTTGTCTGGCACCTGGCTGCTCTTCCTACAGTTTTCCCTGAGTCAGGAGAAGGTGGGAGGTTGACTGGGCTGGGGGAACCTGCCCCAGTGCAGCTGGGCAGGAGATGGGGTATCAAGCTGGGAGTGACTTGCTGCAATATTATAGGGAGAAATTTGTTTCCTAGATAACCTTGTTTCTATGCTGATGCCTGAGATATGTCAAATTTGACAGAAGAGGCTTAATTTAACTGCTGTTGAAACTTCTTTTTTTTTTATTACCTTGGCATAATGACAGAATCACAAAATGGTTGGAGATGGAAGGGGCCTCTGGAGATCATCTAGTTCAACCCTTCTGCTAATGCTGGTGAAATAATATTGGAGACCTATTGTTTATTAAGTTTAACTGAAATTTAGGAACATAGCAAGCAAGAGGGAGTGAAGATAGCCCAGTGACCAAGTCTGAGCTCACCACAGTGATTTTGCTTCCCACAGTGCTAAATGGCCTTGCTTCTCTTGGATTTATTTTATTTATGTTATGAATATTAAAACACCTGTACCTTCTCGCAAAAATTGACTTTTCAGCAGCAAAAGCAAATGCTAAACCTGTGCTTGAAGACTGATGTTTGACATAATGAAAGAGGTAAATCAAATGCCAAGGGTCCCCTCTGGCTATAGGTACACTCACTTTCAGTTTATGCACTCTGACCCGTGATTTGCCCACTGTAGATGGGTCTTGCATGTAATGTGGTTTTAGCTGGTCTGGAAAGGCAACTACAGGCCAACAAAAGTAATAGTTTGTTTTCAAATCAGAGCTATTTCAACAGCATTTTATGTAATGGGTTCACCCTGACTAATCTAAGAATGGGCTGGAGGCTCTTGAGTTTGTGCTATGCAGAAGTTGAGAATCCATGTTGTGGATTTTCAGATCAGAATGATCTCTCCAGCTAATGTATGGCTGATAAAGGATAACAATATCACAGGAAACCATGAACTGGCATCACTCAAGCACTGCTTTAACATTTATTTCTCTGCTTTTTGGTATATCTGAACTGAAACTAAATGCAGAACTTGTCTCCATTATGTGATGGTTATGTTTACCTGCCATGATATCCAGAGCCCACTCATGTTTTTCTGGTAATACTTTAAATATATTGAGTGCTATTGAATTTTTTTTTTTTTTGCATGATGATAATGTACTGCACAGATAATTTTTCTTGTTAATCCTTAGCAAATGCTGATCTTGTCATCTTGTCAGCTAATGACAAGTTATAGATAAGGGTTGAGACTTTTTGTGTGTGTTGTCCTACATACTTTAAAAATAACTAGGACAAAAACTTTTTTGATATAAACTTCCCTGACAAATATAGATGTCTTCTTTTTTATTTCTCTCCTCTCTTAGGCATGGAAAAACTGCAAAAGGCAGAATTGTTGCCTCCCAAACACAGTATTTGTGAAGACTAGATGTCCCTTTAACAAGGAATAACAGCATATTTAAGGTAGGCTGGGAAGAATAATTGTGAAAATCCTTCTTTTTGTGCTCTGCTCTCACTTATTCCTTTTGTCAATATTCAGACTTGTTATTTTATTCTTTGTTTTCCCGTACAAGCTACTTATTGTGCTCTTGTGGTTTGGTTTTTTTTTCCCCCCTAATGGCTTTGGTTATGTCATCTCCCTTAGTTGGATCTTCTCTGTATATTTAGGGGTGGCTGATAAAACTGCTGCTTCTGCCAAGCAAGTTTGGTGTGGCTGAGGCAGCAAGGAGAGAAGTATTGCAGTGATGTGGCAAAAGACAACAGGGTGGAAAGGAGCTGCCAGGTCTGGGTGCCAAGTACAGCAGGTGGAGCGTCTCCACCGAGTGTGTTGTGCTGTTCCCTGTTGCTGTATCCTTGGCTGGTCCTCCATACCCATATGTCTGCACCTGTGCTGGAAACAGAGCAAATTTCCCAGCCTCCTGTACTTGAAGTGGGATGACAACTGCCTGAACCAGCCTCTGGGTTCCCATGGTCAGTGGTTTCCCTGAACATGTTGTTCAGCTCTGCTGCTTCAGGCTTCTGGTGTGTGTGGTCTGTGTTGGCCAGCAGAGGCTGTGGTCACAGCTGGAAAAATCATCAAATATATCCTTGATGTTTTTCCTTCTTGAAAGATTGTGTACCTTCCTAGCTAAGCTTTTCATGGTCAGCATGTTTACCTCCAGGAAAAGCAGTGCATCTTCTCTTGCCCCTGGAAAAGCCACAGGAGAAGAAAACATGATAATACAGACAAAAGGATTTAATGCTGTCATGGTAGATATAGGAAGGGCAGGAAAGGAAAAGGGTTCAGCTGGGTCCCTGAGGTTGGACCAGACCTCCTACAAGAGAGGGAGAAAAGTGATGGGGACTGGAAGTCTCAGGACATGAAAGGTTTTCCTTATAATATATAAAAAATGATCTGCAGGGAGTGGAGCACCTGCATGAGCACAGGGGAAGTGCACGTAGAATGTCAAACATTGCTACACTCACACACATTGAATGTGGCTTAGAAGTATTTTAGGGCAAAGCTGCATCCACAGCTGATGTCCAGGGAACCCTAGAACTTGTACTCTCCCTGTACCAAAGTAATTCTGCTTTACTCTTCATGCTTCTTGTTCCATTGGGGAAAAAAAGAAAAACAACCAAGAGCAAGAAACACAGGGAGGCTTTGGGCCCTGGCTGAGGATTTCTTGGCTGGTTTTACTCTGGGCTTCGTGGTTGCTGTTCAGGCAATCACATGTAGGCAGCTCAGTCTTCACACACTCAGCTGCTGGTTTTCCACGTGGGCTGGTTCTCAATGGAAGAAGGGCTGTGTGGGGAGGTGAGGGGGCCAAGAAAAACTTCTGCTCTGTCAGATTTTTTTTAAAAAGCTTCCACAAATGTTGTGAACCAAAGACAAAAGAGTAAGAAATTTGGCTTTTGGTGGAATTAAGGTAAAACTTACTGTGAGACTACACTTGGCTCACCTGAGTAGGAACACTTTGGTAGCGAGGAACTGCAGTGTACAGTGCCTGTTGCCCAGGCAGCAGCCAAGGCAGAGTTTGGGATATGGAAAGGAGCTTTTTAGGGGTGGGTGGAAGCAGCTGGGAGGGATGGAGAACACAATCTGTGAAAAGCAAAGCTTCATTGTCCCAGAAGCACTAGAACTAATGAGCTTTGCATTTCCAAGGTGGTGAGCCTTCTCCAGACCCTGTGAAATACATGCCTGGGATGTGTTGTGTTCAATCTCTACATGGGGAAAAGGGGTGTGTGGGGGAGGAGGAGAGAGAGGCAGAGGAGGCAGAATGCAGAAAGTAGAGGCCAGAGGCCCCTCTTTGGGTGCAAGCACCAATCTGCTGTCTGCATGAGCCTGCCTTAGTTGCATATGCTCTCCTTTTCTGTGTGCCCAGAAAATTGTGAAAAATAGAGGTTCAGGCAGGGAAGAGCATTTATTTTTATTTGCCTATTTTTGTCATTCACTTGGCATCTCTAAATGAATGGTGGAACCAGGAGGGAAAAGGCTATTCTCCCTGTGCACACAGCCCTTGTGTGTGAGGCAGACTGTCTCAAAGACAGTTGGATACCTGCTGACCTCTTGCAACCCACCTTCACCTTGGAAATATCATGCCAGTGTCTGCTTTTGGCAACTGTGCCAGCAACCCCATGGAGTCTTTCAGTCAGAGCTGTGGAAAAGCAGTTTTCCATGCTCTCCAGCTGGGATAGCTCAGCCTCTGGTCTCTGTTCTTTCCTCTGTGTGCCATGAGGTATCAGAGTGGGGGTGGAAGGACCTCCTTCTGACACTTCACCTCCCAGCAGTCAGGCATAGGCTGTGTATCCCAAAGGTTGTTCTGTCCCTCTGCAGGGCATGGATTCATCCTGCCCCAGTGCTGGTGGGAGATGCCATTGCACAGAATGGTTGACACAACCTTTTGTCCTGTCTCCACTCTATCTAGAGACAAATTACTCTTTCAGCCTTCCCTTTTCATAACAAAGGATTTTGAAATGTGTAGACTGCTCACTTGTGTCTTATTTTTCCTTCCTATTTTCTCTTTCCAGTGTGTCAGTAGCCCCACAATTGAGTACAGGCCCAGGGGCACATGTAAAATATCATCCCCTCCCTGTCATAGCCAAGTGAGGAGGCTGAAATAAAACCCCAAAGCATCAGGTGAAGATGACACTGTGCTTAGCAAAGAGGGTAAGAGGAGTTGTTTTGTGTCTTGTTGGTCCACTGAAAGTTAAACTTGGCAGCAAAGACATCAAAGCAGGTGTGAGGATGCTTCTGCAAGATTTGCCAAGGACTCCTGTGTTCCTGTTTGATGCTGGGAGCCAGGGCAGGGGAGAGGCAGCAAGCACAGCCTGTTTAATATTCTCCCTGTCCCTCTGATCTCCCCCTTACCCTGCAGAAGCAACATGTCCCATGTTTCTGCAGAGCTTGTCCTGAGCAATAGCAGCATCTGTCAGGGGTTAGGTGGCATTAGCCTTGTGGAGCTGGGAGTTAGCAGCGCTTGGCAGAGTGACAGTTGTGCTGTACCTTACATAAATCTGTATCTTGCATAAATCTGTCTCTACCTAGTCTGCCCAGGTGTATGGTCACAATTTGTCTGATTCTTCTTGCTGTCTACAAGGCCTTTCAGTTTCTTAGAAGATTATCTTTTCTTCTTGAGGCCCTTCTCCCTCATCTTTCTTCACAACTCCCACCTCCTTACCCTTTCCCTTCTATCTTTCCCACAAGTCCTAAAGGGAACATATTTTAAACAGGTGTTATTTTAAAATAAATTCCCATCACCTGCCCTCTTCAGTGCTGCAGAAAGCTCCCAGTATGCCCATGGAAAGGGGGAAAGTCTTGAAACTCCCTATGGCTTTGGCAGCAAACCCCAGCAGCCCTCTATTCACCACCTCCTGATATGGGCTGTGCCTGATCCCAGGCCCAGGTATCTTGCTCATCAGTACTTCATGGTACTTGGTTGTCTGTCATCTGCTTTTTTTGACTCTTCTAGACCCTTCTCAGGCCAGAAAATAGTAACTGCCCCAGTTCTTGGCCTTCCTCCAGTGTCTGAGGGAATTCTTCAGGAAAACAAGAAAACCTTTATTAAGCAGATCATTACATCCCCAACCACACTGGTCACCATGAGGCTTGTCCTGAGCCACCCTCTCTTTCCCATCTCTGCTCAGGGACCTGGCACGAGCCCCACTGTGGGGAGGGTCTGTGTGCCAGTGCTCTCCTGTGTCACTGTCACACACCTGCCACCCACTGCTTTATTGTTTTAAGGCTATATTAAAGAGCTGCTCTGAACACTGTGGCAGAGACCAGTATAATGTTCCTGTCGGTCTGCAGGGCCAGGTTCTTAGTATGTATTGCCCAATAAAGTACAGCAGCTCTGAAGGAGTGTGTGATCTGTCAAGGAAACTCATTGCACCTCTCAGTGAGAGTCTCCACTGAGATATATGTCCTTGGGTGCTGAGAAGGAGGTACTTAGGAGTAAGGGTACTCATTACTGTTATTATTTACTATTGTTTGGTGCCTGGTGCTGGTAAGCAGTGCAGGTGGCACACACTTCTACCACAGCTCATCAAGGGGGGAAAAAAAATCCCACCTTGTGCTATAGCACACATCCTGAGCTCTTAAAATAAAAGTTTCTGGTCTATCTCTAAGCCTTATTTCTTTTGTAGGCAGAGGTAAGAGTTGCAATGCCAAGTGAATGGTATGTACTGAGTCCATACGGTGGCTCTTTAAAAAATAATTACATATGGTGCAAGAGGGAGAGGAAACCACTCCATTCCTGTAAATGGCCACTTAAGATGTGGAGAATAAATAACTGTAATAAATAATCTGGTGTAGCTGAGCTTTAGCATTTAGGAATAAATCAGAACTCTTTCCCCATTGTCTGCCGAGGTGCATTGGAAATGGAGTTGGAAGGACAGATTTCCCTCAGAGTTGTGGCAAGGTGTTGGAAAGCCCATGGGAGCGTGTAGGAATCTCCTGTACTCCCGTGTGTTTTGTTGCACTTTCCCTGCACCACCCTTCCCCGTTCACAAGCATGTGCTGCTCTCTGTGAAAGAAAGGAGACTCCCTTAAGTCTCGCTTGCCTCTTGTGAATAAGTGCAAGAACAACGCCGGGGAATAAAGCCTCTGCCGGCGGAATTAACGCGTCCCCAGATCGCTCCTTGGCTGTTCGGTCCCTCACCTCTCCATCAGCTCTGCCTTCCCACCGGCGCTGGTCCACCCTCCTGCCCATTCATTCGCGCTGCCTCTCGCAGCCGGAGCGGCGGCTCCTCCGCGCCGGGCACAGTCTCAGTGCCGGTATTTAAATGCAGCTCCAGTCGCTGGCGAGCGCCTGGCTGGGGCTTGTCACCGAGGGCTGTGTCGCTTTAAGGCATGTGATACTTTCCCGAGCAGGGATGTATTGAAATAGGCTCCGGTACTTCCAGCATCGTAGAGCAGTGTCGGAACCACCGCCTTCCCCGCACTGCCCGCGCCGGAGTCAGGCTGCTCTGCCCTCACA